AAAGTGCTCCTGCTTGGCTCAACATAAAGGAAACGACGCACACTTCAATATGGGCGTCTCGTAATTTTTGTTTACGTTGAGAAGATGCATTTTCTACATTTTGTGATCCACGGAGCGCACTCGATACTTACCTCATAATGTTGTCTAGACTGACGTGTCAAATTAAATCTGTTGATAGATAGCCATGTGCCGAACCTCACTTTTCAACACCTTTCTTGTGAAAATCCTTCATTAAATTTTTGCCCCGCAGAGATGCTACGTGAAGAAAAATTAGACCCCCTCCTGACTTTGCGCTATTCAATAGCGCAAAATCGGGAGGGGGCAAGAAATTCAAAGTCGTATAAAGCTCGTCGTGTTTAAGTTATGTCTCTGATTACTGTTCCTGAAATCTATTATGGTGACACTCTATCTTTAATAAACTTTCTGTTTAATTAAACCTCCAAGTGAAATTGTAAATTTTACTGGGTTAAAAAATTATTAAAAATGTTAATGTAATGTTATTTCAAAGTGCTTTGATTCATTAAAATATTGCTTATGTTCTGATCTTGTTATGCATCTTTTTTTTTCCCCAAATTCTTCCATTTGCGACCCCATATCTAACTACATCAACTGAATTTTCTCTGTTCTATATTAAAAGTACAGTCAAACCCCCCAAAAAACAATCATGGTATATGTTTTACTCTCAACCGACTAATAATAGAACTTTGGGCTCTAATGGCAAATCTACACTCAGCGTCGTGTTACTTTACACGAATGTATTGTCCAAAATTAGTGAGACATTCAAACCAGATCAAGCTCCTAATGGCTTCTAGTGTAGATTACATCGTTTTCCTTATGTACTGGTACACAAAATGCCAAAAATCTTCAAATGAAATGCTTCCCTGGATTTAATTTCACATCACTTCCATTGGAAACGACAATTAACCTACAAACTTCAGAACTCAATTCCACTTTGTTATGTAAACAAAGTCATAACTGAATATATTAGGCCACTATGACAGATGATGCTGACGTTTTCTTAAGTTCCTAAGATCCTCAACTTACATGTGCAACCTTTTTTGTCAAAATGAGACCTACATAACAAAGTTTGGCCATTAACCCTCAACTTGAAAATGAACATTTCAGGACTATTGTATGCTAGTTATCTTGTTTTATTCATGAACAGGAACAACATTGAAAACTATCTAACCGTAATCAGATATTAGCTCTTCTAGACGAAACTCTATAAGACACCTAACATTAACAAGCAGCTCAATTTCGTAAGTCACACATATACGCATTGCGGACCTATTTTCTTAAGTATTTGAGAAATGTTTATGAGTAAGCTCTTGAGGCGACTTACGGCCGCTTAAGGTACCAGGGTAGGACTTCCCTTCACTGATCCCAGTCAAATCAATAAATTCATCCTGCATATATATGTGCAGGATGAATTTGTTGATTTGATTTGAATAGCCACGAGTCACACACTACCAATATAACTGTCATGACACACTGAAGATTCCTAAATTGTTAAAAGTGTCTGATCCATCCTTCTTAACCTGAGCACTTACTTTCAATCCTAAGGGTTCGTTTACCTTTGAGATGTACTTGTACACAGAGGTCAAAAAGTAAAATGTCTTTGGGAGTAACTCTCGCTTAATAGGCAAAGTCTTCGAGAATATCCTATGATCCATAGAGCCTGTTAGCTGAAATGTATAAGTTACATTTGTGCAAACATTGGCCACTTCCAATGTAAATGAAAATGTTCCATAATTCCTTCGTAGGAATAATAAACAGTTCGAATCCAAGTCTCTCACAATTGTGTCCGAACCAAACATTTTGCGTGGTATTCCATTGTCAAACAGCACTTCTTTCTTAGAAGCGTCGACAGTTTTCTCTTTGGCACATGCACAGAGCTTGATATCCACAGACTTATCTGCACATGAGGCAAATTTGTTGTACATTGTTTTCCGGATAGAACTAAGGAAAACTACTCCTTGCGTTGGTTTGGNTGCTTTTGAATAGCATCATTAATGTGTCCAACTGCAAATTCTGCCAACCACATGTGATCGTCTGCATTATCTTTCACTGGAATTGCTTCATCGAAACCTTCACATTTGCATCTGGTTAAAGGGAGCATGTACAAGTCTGCACAAGTGCGATTTTCTGGAATCTCTGAAAATATTCCTGATTCTGAATGATTTTTGGAGTCCTTTTTCTGAGAATCATGCAAACTCATGAATGCATTGTGAACATCGTACAACATAAAGATGCGCTTTTGGTTTGTTACCAAGGCTCCCATCCTTTCTGGACCCAGTTTTTCCTTAACTCCATCCGGGACAATCATGAGGAACACGGGATCAAATAACTCTCTCCTTCCCTCTTCAGTGTAACTGAATGGAGTCATTTTATGACCATGGTCAGAAAAAATCACAGTCAAGGTGTTTGGTAACGAGGCCATATCCGTGAAAAACTTTGCCATACCGGCATCCATGTTGATCATCCGTGTCCCGGTCATCTCATGTCCCGTGTTGAAATGCATGTACGACACCAATGGTTTGGCTTTCCTGTTGTTTTCTAAGGCAGTATACACCTTTCTTATGTAGTCAAAGAAGTACCAGCTGTAAAACTGTCCATTGAGACAGACTTTCTGAGGACTGTCATAGTGATTGGTCCTTCCAATTCTGTTCAACACAGTGCAGGAAAAATGTGTGATACCAAAATGGTCAATCATTTTCTTTGCCATCTTTTCCTGAAATTCTTTCCACCTGATTTGAAACAGTTAGCATTTTATTACCTTTCAGACTAACAACAGTGCAGAAGTGGTAAAAATTACAAAGTTAAAATTAATGCCCAATTATTCACCCATTCTAATTTAATAGACTTTATTGCGAACATTTTGTGGGCCCCAATTCCTTATACAGTAAATGTTAAACTAAAATGCAGTCGTCATCTTTTGCTCATTTTAGAATCAAAATTGAAAGATCTGAATGGAGGCTTAAGTTAAATGGGAAGTGGATGTTATGATTTTTACTCTCACAGTGCTTTTCTCCTTCCTTTGATATAAATAGGTTGAGCAAGAAACTATCAGGAGACCTGCTGGGGTTTATTTATAATTGATTACTGGCCCATCAATGCGAGAGGGCAATACTTCTTGATGCTTCATGATAAGGATACAAGGATCAGCTTCTGCAGCTTGGACCACTTGACTGGTAAGACTGAGCCTTCTCAATTGACTCAACCAGGTTTTAAGTTCTTTCAGCAGCCAATCGAAGCATTTCCATGCATCACCCACCACCCAAACTAATCAGACAATAAGAAAAAATTTAATAACTATCATTCTACAAGTTACTCACCTCTCTTTGTAATCAGAATTTGTTTTAGGCATTTTTCTCCTTTCGTTATCTGTCAATGCAGTCCCCCATATGTCGTACCAGCAAAGGTCTTCTTGAAACAGTGTCTGGTAGCCCCACTTCTTGAAGGCCCCATACAGCACTTCCACGCCCAAAGGAGCCTTTTTATTGCTTGCAGAGGCACTAACTTCATTGTCATCTGATAAGTTTTATCAGTCAGGTTTAAGACAAAACATACTGAACAATGAAATATTTACTGATAGAAGTTTCTTTACAGGTGCCATTTTTAATGAGAGATTTGACACCCATAAACTTAGGTTATATTTGCAACTAGCACTGGTCATGTGATCCACAAGTCTGGGTGAGAGTGCTTCTAAAAAGGACCCTTGTTGATAGCAGTAAGTTAAAACACTCTGACAACTTGATCAGACATAATCATTGAGTTATTTGACTTTGATGTAGACTTCTACAAACCTTATTGAAATATTATCCTTCACTAAGACTGTTAGTTCTCACTCAGATGATCAGACCTCATGATCAACAACTAGTGTTGGTCTATAAGATTTAAATTTAATGATAACTTATGTTGACAAATTCCTTTAGTCCTTACTACGAGTTCTATTTTCTCTTGTGGTCAACACTAACCGAACAGCAAAGAATCAATCACAAATCAATTAATAACAGTGGAGAATTTTGTCAACGCACCTTTCAGAACACCACTGAAGAATGGTCTTAAGTTTTCAAAAGTCTGTTGACCAATGCTTTGCACAAGTTCAAAGTCCAGGAATGTGGCCTTGATTGTAGAATCTTCCTTTATCTTCCGCAAAGCCTTTGTAGCTTTTGGCATAATTCGATAGAAGTGTGGTCTTGAGACAGAGTCCAGCATAATAATATTTACATTAATAGCATTTATGCCTTTTGCATTCTCATTTTCCTTAAAGATGGGAGGAAAACTCAAGGCTTGATAAATATTTCCACATCTAAGAAACAGGAAAGTAAATCCTCTCTCCAGGTTTGTTTTTACTGCTTCCTGTACTTTATAAGTGAGGTTGTCCTTTGGTAAAGATTCCCAGACATCAACAGCTTTTCCCATTTGTGGATCCACAGAAGCCACTTGAATCTCTGAAAACCCACACACCTTTGGATGACAAGACACTTCATGTTCCATTAACTTAGTTAACTGGTATGAACAGATCTCTGGGTGACGTGTATCATCGCACTTTGGCTCCTTCAACAGTCCTGGAGATCCATAAAACTTAAGAATTTGTTCCTGCCCAACTTTGTCTGGCCTACAAAAGAATTTATTCGATGTTATGTCGTAAGCCATTTTCTTCAAATAAATTCAAACGAATACCTTTCTCAGACTACGAGCGCTCCCTCCAATTCATAATAACAAAATGCGAAGATGTATACAAGCAATGAATTTAGAGATATAATAATCAATAGTCTTGTTCAATTCAGTTCTTTATTATTCTTTTGGGGGAGGTGGGTGTCTGTTTGAGGTGGGCACTCATCTTAACCTATCCCCCACAGCACTACAATTTCTTAACCTTATCCAATGAAGATCTTTCTCTCGATGTGTAACAGTGAAAACGATCACAATTTATCTTTCACGACGTCCCGGAACGTGAAAAAAGCTAAAACATATTCTATTGTCAAGCTTTGGGCCTTTCCGCACTGGGGAAAAAGATTTTTTAGACAGAATACTGTCATTACCGACATTTTGGTCGAGGCAGAAAAAATCTGTATACGAACCGCCGACAAAATTTGTCCCGAGTAAAAACTTGACAAAATCACCAAAATAAAAAAAAAAACAGTGATAAAATTACGTAGGATGCACGATCCTCGCAGTAGAGAGCGCTATTTACGCAATAGCGAAATCAGACCTGAAAAAAATCAGGCCTGTACGGGATTCGAACCACTGACCTCTGCAGTACTAGTGCAGCGCTCTGCCAATTGAGCTAACAAGCCAACTGGGAGCAGGCCTTTAAGTTGATCCGTTAAATTGATTATATAACCACAGTTATCTTTCAAGATATATCAACTTCATAGATTCATTGNGTATTTTCTAATAGGGCAAAGATAACTTTCACAAGGATTTTGGAGTAATCGTCAATTGATAATTTTTTCTCATTTCGCAAAATAGTAATTCAGGAAGACTAACTATTTTGCGAAATCGACCACTAAAAAACGAAAACTGTGCACAGTTTTTTTAACTTTAGAATGTACTCGGTATAAGCTTTAGCCTAGATAGGTTTCTATGGAATCTCTTAAAGTTGCGCGCGTAGGACGATCTTTCCAGGAGGTACCTTAGATATCAATTTGATATTTTACATCTCTACTGCTGCGAAACCATGAAAACCAGAAATATTTCTGGATGGTTACTCTGTTTAGAGAATAAGCTAATCGAGTGTGAGATATAGCAACTGTATGCAGCAATTCTGATGAGTGATTTTGTGCTTTGCTTGCAAATCGTGATCTCCTATCTGAAGCATTCATGTTTTCTAAGCTAACAAGTAAACATTTACATATATCCTTACTTGTGAGGCTTGCATTTTTTTAAAATGATTGGGGTATCGTTTACAAATGTATTTCCAGACTGTAGACTTGTCTTTCCTGAAATAGAAGACAGAGAGACAAATATTACTGATTGAGAATTATTTTTGAAGGTAGTTTTACTTACTGTTTTTACAACCATTCTTGTCTAAATGGTAACAAAATGTGATTTTATGAAAATTTACACAAAAATAGGGAAAAACAGGATTTTTCTCTTGTTCTAGTCATTTTTCTTTCAACACTCCTTAATACAAACTTCTAACAACTCCAACCTTTAACAATATCTTTTATCTTGAAGTTTCACATCTTTAGGAGTCATATATGTATTAATAATGATAATACTAATAATAATAACTTTATCAAGTAATTAATTATCAAGTTATTATTATTATTATCAACAGCCAGAGGATGTTGATACTTTTTGAAAAAAAAAATTTCATGTGACTGTTTTCTTCCTTTGTCCATCTTTTTTTCAGACCAAGATACCAAATGGTGAGATTTTGTTGCTGTTTTGTAGACCACATTCTTTCATTACACTAAGAAAGACATCATTAGAAAGACACCCATTTTAGTTTTGCTTTTTTTTCTCACTTCTCTGTCCACATCTTGACTTCGTTATTTGGCGGTATGTACTGGATTGTCTTTCATTCAATTATGGAAGATAAGATTGGTTAAAATATGATGCATTATGGCTGACTGTATCAGAAGCTTTTTCCAAGTGTTAGGTACTAATTCATAATTCATGCTTGCATTGGTCACTTGATTCTCCATGGTCTTACCTGATAGGACACCTTTGGAAATTGGTACTAAAGGAGTTACTTGCAACTGCATGCCTATTCCAATAAGCGACAAGGCTGTGATGAAAATGGCCAGAAACTGTGTGCAAAAAAAATGCAAGTCACTATAATCTGCTTAAAAATCCACTTTTTATGTGAACCATAAACAGTTAAATGGCTGTTAATATATGAAAATCATACACGCGAAATGTGCATGGATCGCAATAATTAGGTAATGCAATAAACACAGTAATGAAGATCACTCTCATACATTGTATTCATTTAATAATCTGTATTCACACATATAATTTTCATATATGCACAATCATTTACTATTCATCACTTCACAGGATCATTACAAACCAACAAAATGCTACATCTCGATCCGTTGGCTTAACAGCTCCGTTGGAAGAGCACTGCAAGAGTATAGCAGAGGGACATATTCTTGAAACTCAAGAAAGACTGACAAGTCTGATCAAGCAGTATTCAGTTTCTTGGACCCCATTTATTGATGCAAGCTTCTATCAGTCGACACTATGGCCCAGTTCAGATGTCATGCTTCTGCTGTGCCGAACTAATTGCAATTAGGTTTAACACAGAAGCCTCTGGAAACTCCGAGTATCCCGATTAATTAATTTATCTTAATTTTTTTCGCAGTTTGTGAGCCGGTAGTATTCTATAAATCCTGCAATCTGATTGGTTCCGATTGATGCTTTGCAGAATATCTATAGCTTTGTTGTAATTTTTAATGAATATGTCTCGTTGTACAGAATGTCTTTTGATTGGAACGCGACAACAACTTCAGAAAGTTAGTAACATCAGTATCTTTTCGGTTGGTCTCATCCGGTTAGCTCAATTGGTTAGAGCGCCGGATAGTGTCGTGCGGAAGGTCGAGGTTTCGAGCCCCGGCCGGACCAACACTCATGGTCTAAAATAACTGAAGAGAATTTGCTCCCTTTCTATAGTATCAAGAAATGGATAGATATTCTAGTCTTCTCGGATAAGTACGAATAAACCGAAGGCCCCGTCTCCTGCAGGGTTAAGGGTAGGAGACGTTAATTTCTCACGCACGAGATTACTGTGTGGTGGATGTCCTCCCGTGGGGTGGGATGAAAGGGAAGGTGAGATCGTTACATGGAATGAAGCGGCTGCCAGAAGCGCCTGATAATTTTGACGTCCGATCTCAACTTTATCATTGTAACTAGACACGTTTGTTGTTTAGAGTGCTTAAGACTTTCTTCTTCTTCTTTCTTCTAACATCAATGTATTTAACTTATCATGCTTCCTTTTAAATATTTATCCTAATG